ATAACATTATGAATGTTTTATTTATGATACCATTCAGTATGTTTGAAAAAGAAAAAAAATAGGTTTTGAAAATCATGGTTGCCTCGATAGCCCAATGTGGCATTTTAGGCCCAATCGGGTATAGGGTGTTATATTATTGTGAGTAACGTGATTTTCGTCGCAAAGCCCTTACACCGATTCGTCTTGGTATTTATTGGACACTTCTCAATATTTGGTATATTCAATAGGGCGGTGTACTCTTCAATATTTGGAGTCATATCCACTTTGCCAAAAGTAAAACATTTGTATACAAAACTTTTCCATAGCCCAAACAATAGCAACATCAATCGAAACTTTCAACAACTTGACTATATCCCCATACGTTAACCTAAACAATCCTTTTTCTCTTTCATCCTATCCTTCCCAGATTTGTAAAAGTTCTGACTAGTGATTTTGTCTAACGGTTAACGAGACTTTCTCAGGTAAATTGGATCTCTTACCAGTAATGAGGCTAACTCCAAATCGAGCTTGCTTTTATTCTGACAACATCTAATTTTTTAAATTCTGTCAAACCCATCGAAAACCATTGTTGTTCTTAGAACCTTCTAAAATGACCAAATAATTCGGGGATCAATACCTCCTATGTTTTGCCATGTTTATGCAACAAAAATAAAACTGCGTGACAAAGAATAAAAAGAAACAAGTTAGTAAAATTAAGAATAAAAGGAAAGAAAAAAATATTAAATTCAATTAATACATAAACCGTAAACACGATAAATAAAACACAAAAACAATTTAAAACCCTAACAGTATGCGTTCTAGTTCTCTTAGGATATCCACATGGCTCTAGAGGGGCGAGCTTACTAAATTCTCTATATGATGTTCGGTTCTAAAGAAAGGTTCCCAAACTATCCTTACAATATTCTAAGGCAAATAAGGACTTCGATTTTGGCCTATTACAAACTTTGCGAATTGAATTTAGTCCAGGGGATACATTACTAAATGTTTGTCGTGGAAAACAGTATCTTGATAGACATAAAGAATGCTTTCCAAAGGTACTTTGCTAGACCTACACGAGGAAAACCATTATTCCTCGGTTGTGTGGTATTTTCCCCTACTTAGGTGAAACAGGATAAAGCTCGGGTATAGAACTTTGATATGCAACAATTCTAAATATATTCAATCAAGATGAAGTGTTAACCAGAGAGAATATTTTTTCAAAGAACATAATGACTTGTAAATTATATAAATTCGAACTCAAGATTTCCAAATTTCAAATATGGGGTAATCGACTCGTGGGTTGACTCTCTATTTGTTTTAGAAAACAAAAGTGTCCAAAGAAGTCGCCAAGCTGTCGTAACAGACCCTTTTGGTGGAAAACATACTAGCTACAAAGATGGGTTTTTTTTTGAAAATATTTTAATGAATAGATAGGAGTCGCCACCAATCATTTTAAGGTGCGCCTGGAACAACAAGTAATTTTAATAAAATATATTATTTTATCAATAAAAATTAGAAATCAGGTTCGAGAGTCAGTTACACGTGGGGAAGGATTAACACCCCACGGAGCCCAAAAATTGGTACCTAGCCGATTACCCTATATTTTAAAATTGAAAATTTTGAGTTTGAAGTTTTATTTAATTTAAATATGTATGCAAATTGTGAAAAGGTTGTTGGTTTACCAAGACTCATAACGATCACCCCGAGCATTTATACGGAAGCTTCGTTATCGATCCCAATAAAAACATTGCCTCGAGGATTAAGAAATCATGATGTAGGGTTTTGAAAAGGATGTTGATTTACTTTGGGAATCAATAGTGGTCACCCCTAGGGATTTATGAGAAAGATACATTGTTAACCCCCTAGTAAATGAACATTGCCTTATTTTTGAAATCGAAATACAATCAAACAATTCATTATTGAGCCTAATTATGCTAAGTGAGTTAATTAAGGTTTTTCTCTAAACTACATTGTCAAATTATGAAATTTAAAGGACCTAGAGGACTAAACCTAAAAATGTAGGCTATAATATTAATCATAATCGATTTTAATCAATTATTGAATCGAATAATCGAAATAGACCCTCGGGCATTAAAGCGAGGGTCAAATTGAATATTCCATCAATTAAAGGACTAAAGTGAAATTAGTCTAAAAACTAGAGCTTAAATCTAAATATTCGTTAAAGACTAAATTAATGAAAATACAAAATAAAGAATGGATTAGAATAATTACCTAAAAACATAGAATAAATTTAAGGACTAAATTGAAAATTGTAAGAAATCTCAAGCATGAATTTAAAGATTTATACAAATTAGAGTACCTAATATATAAACACTTACGAACTAGTTAGTCAAACTTATCCAGAGATTAATATTAACAATTTACAAATTAGTGAATTAACAACCCATAGTTCAATAATTTATTAGGGTTTATTAACAATAAAATTACTTAATGACTGACATATAATATTAACAAAATAGAGGTGTCAATTCCATATAAACAGAAAAATAAAATAATGATCAAATTAGTACAAATACAAATATAGCAGCGAATTCAAAATAAATTAAAACAAAAACGAAGGATCTAGTGGATAAAATGTAAAAACTCATGTAAAGTACATGGACCTTAATGAAATTAACCCTAATCATCTTATATAAATACCTAATTATAGATTAACCCTAACCTAAACCCACACTAATCTTAGCCGCCTCTTTTGTACTTTCTCTTCCAAACCCTCTCCATTTTCCTTCTCAGTCGAAACAAAAAGAAGCCACTACTTCCCTTTGTCGGCCACCGTACATCGGTGGCCAAAAAGATCCAAATTGCCTCCAAACAAGGCTGAGAAACAAAAACTAAAACTTGCATGTTTCCTCTTAACACCTTCTCTTCAAGACAACCCTCGATCGAAACCTAAAAACATAAAAACTCTCAACTTCTGATTACCCCTATTTTGCTTCTCTTAAAACTTTTCTCCTATTACTCCAGCCTCTAAGTCGATTCCTACATAACAAGCAAGCCCTGATCCAAGCCCTAGAGTCCTTGGACTTTTCAGTTACCCTCTCTGACCGTTCAACTCTCTGAACCCAGTGATTATGACTCTAGTAAGCCCCTAAAACGCTTAGGTAAACTCTTAACCTTTTATTGTTCTTATCTCAATCCAAAATAATGAAGAAAGCTAAAAACAAAAGTAAATGAGAATGAAACCTTTTAAAAAAAATATGTTTTTGAATGCTTGGTTGTTAGAGTTCTTTTTTTCTTTTGATTACAAAATGAGATTTTGGGTTTGTACCTTTTTTTTTGAATCATTAACATCCTACCTCTTCTAATTTCCTCTTTAACCCCATATATTTATTTTTCTTTGCATGTCATCCCCTTTGTAATATTTAAATCTCCTCTTTTTTATTGCTGCTGAGATGAGAAAATAGGTAAACGTTTACTGGAAGTTCTCTGGTATACGCGAGGTGGCATAAGGATGATCAAACACGAGCGTGTGGGAATCTAAGAGAAAATTTCTGGCGTATGGATCATTTGGAAAGTTCATGTGCATCTCGTGTGTAGATGTTTCTAGAGAAATTGTCGCAACCGTCTTTCGGTTGGGCCCCGGAATTGGGCTTCGACTTGAAAAATGTGGATTGGAGTCACCACCGAACACTTTAAAATGAATTCAGGTGGGTCGGACACCATCTTACCTGATCTGCGTTGTACCAGAAACGTGTCGGGTTCGGGAGTCGGTTACGGTCAAGGAAGGATTAGCACCCTTAAACCTCCCTTTCGGTACCAATTAATTTATCGGTTGTCTTTAATTGTGAAAATTTAAATTTAAAAATTCAATTCGAATTACTTACCTTCGATTGATTAAAAATTCCCCTCAAAAGCCAATAATATCGTTAGATTAAAAATATATATGAAAAAAAATAATAGAAAAAATTAATAAAATAAATAAGATAGATATATAAGGATACAAACAAAATCCTCATTCAAAAGGAATAATGTCATCTCACTAAAAGTTAAAAGAGATACACGTGATTGCCATAATGTCATATCTCAGGACCTACAATGTGAAATCATGCAAGATTGAACATTTCAAAATCACATAAGAATCTGCTGAAACAACATTATTAAAGCAGGTGCCCAGTTATTTACCTATTCGTTCGTTTGATTTACATATTCGAGTGGCCCATGCAAACTTGAACTCAGTTCCATGAAGTGTACAAAATACCTCTTAGGTTCCAAATATCCATCAACAACCCAAATTTGTGAATCTGCAGATGTGACGAGTACTTCTGATGAACTTCCAGGTGCAAACTGGAAACCTATAATTTTCCTTTGATGAGATTTCTTCTTTTTGTTCTGCAATTTGATTTGACTTTGCTGTAGCGACTTATTCTCAGATGCATTGTATAAACGGCAGCTTCCTCTGTACGAGCCAACTACTGCACACTGGCCATCTGGTGTAAAACAAGCAGCGATATTCTGAAAGCTATGCTCCAATAAAGTTACAGAAGAAAGCCGCCCAGTGACCTGCTCCACTATTGAATTGCTTATTTCACTTATCGGCAGTCGTAAAGTCTAAAGAGACTTGACATTATCCGTAATGAATGTAAAGCTCTGGTCATTAGCTAGACCGATAACACAAAGCTTTCGAAGTTAACCCGAGATTCTAGTTATCAGCATTTGAACCACCAGAGAGCGTGAGACCAACGCCAATTAAATGTGGGAATGAAATTGCCATCTGATGCCATTAACCGGAGGCTCCATTTGTTACGCTCGGCATTGGTCATGACTCATGAGCTGCTTTCGGAGAACTAGCCAAAGAAATTGTCGCACTCTTTGAGGCCCATCAAAATTTCAAACAAGGTTCCACCGGTCATCTTTAGTATCCCAAGTATTCTGCTGGACCGTGTTAAACGCTGACTTAACGGAGCACATTCCAGAGGGTTCCCAACGCCAAATAGCTTGGTCATCAGCTCGAGTAATATCATTGCGTGTTGCCCTTTCGGCCGCCGATCGAGAGTCTCAGGCAGAACCCTCTCTTCTATTTTTCATTTGTGCTCCCTCAATAATTCGTGGTTCCCCTCTCTGTTTTTTGGTTCCCCTTTCCTCTTGATGCTTGAGTCTATTTATAGTCTAAAGAAACCTATTTTTAGCTCAGATTTAGAGTCCTACTTGGACTCAAATTGTTTCGGTTTTAGTGTTTCAATAGGACTCAAATACGTTGGTTTGAATCTCACTAGATCAGGGTTGTTGAGTGTGGGGCCTACAAAAATAATAAAAAAGAATATATGTTAATAAAAATAATAATATTACATATATAATATATATAATATGTTTTATATTAAATATTATAATAGGACAAAATTTGGTGTCTACAGCTGCCCCTCTTTGCTCATTATCGTGTAACGAAAATAGAGCAAAGATTAAAAGACACAAATTTTGGTCAAATCGAATATCCTCTGTCGTAGAGTTGAAATCCGATATGAAAACTGGTTTGTCAATACGAAATGACCTCCTCATCGTGAGGTTGAGTCAAAACTAGAAATTTTTGAGCCTGAATCCTTCGTCGTGAAGTTGAAATCGAACTCAGAGTACTGGAAGTAGCTCATGGATTATCTTCTAGCCAAAGATACTTCGTTGTGAAGCTGAAACTCAACTTAAAGACTTTGGTGTTGTGGTGTTACAGATGACTCCTTCGCCGTGAAGTTGGGTCCATCTGTTAGGGTATGATACCCTTTGTTGTGAAGTTGTGTATGGCCCCTTCGTCGTGAAGTTGAGCCTGGGAACTGGATATCCTTCGTTGTGAAGTTGAAATTCAATGTAGGTTGCTTTGTTTCGAGGCCAATATCCTTCACCCTGAAGTTGAAATTGACTCTGAAACTGGAAAGTTTGTTAATAGTCACTCCTTCTTTGAGTTGAATATCATTCGCCGTGAAGTTGAAATCCACTCTAAAGATGAGTGCTGCTTGTATGCTCGATTCCCTTCGTCGTGAAGTTGAAACTGCGGGTGACCCTTTCGTCGTGAAGTTGAGTCTGGAATTGGATATCCCTTTATTGTGAAGTTTGGCTTCGAGCTAGATATCCTTCGTCGTGAAGTTGAAATCTACTCTCGAGCAAATTGTGTCGTTTCGAGAGAAACTGTCTCAAGAGAGACAAAACTTAGTTCCAACAGAAACTGTCTCAAGGGAGACAAAACTTAGTTTCAAGAATAACATATTCAAAAAAAAATTTTAATTCAGAGGAAACTATCTTAAGAGAGATAAAATTTGTTTCAAAGGAAACTGTCCCAAGAGAGACAAAATTTGTTTCAAGAGAAACTATCTCAAGAGAGACAAAATTCATTTCAAGGGAAATATTTTTAATGTTTATGTTTCAAGAGAAAACTGTCTCAAGGGACACAAAATTTTGTTTCAAGGGAAACTGTCTCAAGAGAGACGAAATTCATTTCAAGGGAAATGTTTTCAATGTTTATGTTTCAAGAGAAAACTGTCTCAAGGGAGACAAAATTTTGTTTCAAGGGAAACTGTCTCAAGAGAGACGAAATTCATTTCAAGGGAAATGTTTTCAATGTTTATGTTTCAAGAGAAAACTATCTCAAGGGAGACAAAATTTTGTTTCAAGGGAAACTGTCTCAAGAGAGACGAAATTCATTTCAAGGGAAATGTTTTTAATGTTTATGTTTCAAGAGAAACTGTCTCAAGGGAGAAAAAATTTTGTTTCAAGGGAAACTGTCTCAAGAGAGACGAAATTCATTTCAAGGGAAATGTTTTTAATGTTTATGTTTCAAGAGAAACTGTCTCAAGGGAGACAAAATTTTGTTTCAAGGGAAACAGTCTCAAGAGAGACAAAATCTTCTAGTGAAAACGGTCTCAAGTGAGACAAATCTTGTTTTAAGAGAGCAATCTCAAGTGAGATAATCATCTGCATTAAATGAGACTGTCTCAAGTGAGACAAAATTTATACTGGAATGTCGAATCTGAAGATGAATGTCGACCTTTCAATTTGTCTAGTTGGTTGAAGTGTAGCTTCCTGCTGCTGATTTAAGCAACCAACATCAATCTCTAAATGTTCTTTTGAATCGAGTATCCTTCGTCTTGAAGTCGAAACTTGACTCTAAAAGATGCAAAAATTATGTATGTGGAAAATGATAGATATGATGCTCTAAAATGTATGCATAAGATGCATGTAACATGAATTGGTTATATTTTATATCCTGAAAAAGGTCTGATAATTTGCATTAGGATGTTGAATCCCCAAATGATGCCCCAATATCCAAAAATACCCCAATATTTTATGTTGAATCTTCAAAAATGCCCCAAATATTCCTCATTTCTTGCTTCATCACTGATTCTGAGCATGAGTTTTGTGTCTAAGAGTCACATGTCATTTACCAAGATCCACTCTAGAGAGACTGTCTTGTTTGAAAAAATGTTTTTCTTTCTCTTTTATTTTCAAAGTTATGAAAATATCAATTAAAAGAGTTTTGAAAAATGTTTGATCCAAAGTTTTGAAAATATTGTCACTTTCACGGTTTTACAATTGAGACGAATCATAAAACTAGAGTTCATCGGATATCAAAGAATTAATTACAATGTTAATCCTTCAATAAATTATAGCTATTTGACAAGTGCCAAGATCAAAGCTATCTTTGGGAAATTGTTAAGTAAGGAAAGGATAAAAAAGTCCCAGGTTATTATGTTTGGTCGAAGGTTTGGCATTTGATGTTCAAAGGTTTGGCATTTGATGCTCAAAGGTTTGATGGGGCAGCTTGCATGCTTCTCTGCTGGAAGTGTTCTCTGGCTCCCAACCTTCATTGTCACACTCAGATTGTGCGATGCCTTATCAAGGAATTTGTGTGATCGCCTCAGTTGCACAATTTTTATATTCGAGCTGCCTTTTTAGGTTTTCAACTCGAATCCTCCTTTTGTTTCAAGACGTTATTCAGGATTTACGTCTTGAACCCCCCTTTGTTATTTTTCTCTACTATGCATTAATTACATTGTTTTTTACAAACAAAGATTAATCCTGATGGGCGGGATGAAATCTGAAGATAGTCTCTTTTGTTTAGAAATCCATGTATGATTAGAAGGGACTTTTAAGGCACGTAATGTAGGCCAGGGTTTGTGGTTATGAAAGAAAAGGATAAATAGGCCTAAACAAGTGTTTCAGGGTGTTGAACCAAGGATCAATTCATTTTGATGCCTTCAATCCTCTCTTGCTCAATTTGGATATGCTCATATGTGTTTCTCTGGATTTTCTCTGGATGTTCCATGATCTTCGAGTGAAGTGATTCAGAGATTCGAGAATGATTGTGCTTGTGCCATTTGTCTTTAGGGAATCTTTGCATGTGTTTTTTGTCCCTTTTTCTTTTTGATTCATTTTTTCCTTTTGTTCTTGTTTCTATTTTTTCTTTGTTTTTTGCTTTTTTGCTCCTTTTCTTTTTTGTTCTTTATTGGATCTTCGCACTTGCCATTTGGTCTACCCTTTGGTATCTTCTTTGGATTGATGTCTTCACTCATGTGAGCAGATTTCTTCCACCTTGCCCCCCAGTGTGGAGGGTGATCCTTGGTTAGGGTTAAATCAGAAGAAAAATACTATAGGTTCAAAAGGGGACACAAGGGATATATATTTTCTCTTGTTGTGAAGGGATAAAGAAAGAAAGCCGTTCATTATTTCATACATGGAAGTCCTCACAGAAGAGGTATCCCCAGGGGGATAGGTTTTCAGGATTAATTTCATTCACATGATAACAATGTAGTTAATGCGTGATAGAATTATTTCGAATGAATTTTTTTTTCTTCTCCTTGCTCCCAACATATCTCAATGTTCAGGCTCCCGGCGAGATGCCCCAAATTGTGTCTTAGAAGAATGCTCATGTTCAAATGAACAACTCAATGCCTTGGGTTTTAATGGTAAAAAAAGGTTAATTTTGAGTCTAAAAAAAGACAGTGGTGTGATTTTATTGACTCAAAGAAAGGTATGGGTGTATCAAAAAGATAAATGTAATGTTCAAGAATTTCAAAGGGAGGTAATGTCAAAATTTGGTTTTTTGGTAATGACCATGAGTTATTTTGGGTAAAGAATCAAGATATTTTATTTTGGGGTTTGAGACAGGGTAAGAAAGGTCTAATCTTGTCATATGTTAAAAATCTATAATTCTTGAAGAATTAAAAGAATCATTAATTCATTTAATATTCGAAGAACTAAAGATTAAAATTTGTTCAATTGCTCCACATTAGAAAGCAGCATAAATTCAAACATGAAAGATCAAAGACGTGTTCAAACAAAATAATCCCCTAAGTGCAAATGGTATATACCATGCCCCCTTCTTCGGCAAGCGCTTTACAGTTTTCAGAGGAATATTTGGGGCTTCTTATGTGGTAACAGCTAACAGCTTCAACATCGTAGCCCTTAGGATATGGGGATTCTTTTCTTAGATCATCCTGGCAGGCTTTGTCCTACAATCAGCTGATCTAGTTCACTCTGAATTATTTTCAGTTTTTTCTTTTGATGTTATAATCTTGTTTCTTTGTGGTGTCATGTGGTTAAGACCACTTCATCGAATCCTCCGTGAAGAAATTTCATGTTTATGAAAATGCTTAAAATGAATGTAGATGCACAATGCAAAAAGCAAAATGCAAAAATGCATGAGATGTTCGAGGCATTGATCCGAAAACATGTCTGTTATTATAAATAATCTTTATTGGGACAAAAGTGTTTTATCTTTTAAGAGACAATAAACATATCCTGACAGCTTTTGACATGTTGACTAGTCTTCTACCTTCGTCTGTCACCGATCGAATGCCCTGTCGAACCGTTCAGGCTCCTTTGGCTAAAATGTGCAAGTGACAAGTCGTTTTCCCCAAAAAAAAAGGTCTCGAAGGACTGCATCTCCGACTTTCACTCTTTGTCGAGCTTGTTTCTAACGAAAGTGTCATTGGAGCCCTCCACCCGAAGCTTATCGACTTGCTTATGGAATTCATCTTGTTCTCGTAGTTTTCAAAAGGAATCTCTGGGTCAGTAACTTTTTCCTCGTCTTGCCCCTGCAACCTTTGCCTCTCAAAAATTTGACTTTAGTGTGCTCGGTATAAATTCTGGTCCATTTGGAGTCCTTTACAATGTAGCAAAGTGACAAATTCTTCGATTGCGGGTACCCCGTCTTCTGGATTGAATGTGACACATAGTCTCCCTGTAGACTGTCCTCTGTATTTTCATCTCTTGTATTACAACCCCTTTGTCCATTAATGCAGATTATTTGAGTTTTAACAAACACGTTTTAGTGGATCAATGGTCTCTTTTAAATGATGCGAATGATGAAAACAAAATGAAAGAGAGAAAAAAATAAAAAGAGTTAGTGAGGTAAATCAAAACAATAAAAAAATGAAAAAAATCCTACCCCACATGCTAATTTCAAACAAATCCTAACCGCATATTTGTCTAGTTCGCATGCTTTGAACAAAAGTAAAGCAGGAAAAAATTCAACATAGGGTTTGAAATAAGGTTTTGAGGTGGGCTCTAATTCTCCACGGTCTCCCGGTTTAGGTTCTAAAGTTAAGGTACTCGAGTTCTCCTCGCTGGTGCCCCCTTGGGCTTGCCAGACCCTTAGTCCTAAACCCATCACAGACATATGTGGACTAAGTTAAACTCGAGAGGAAACATTCCCTTATGCCCATACGGAGAATAAATTCACACGAAGACATAAGGTATATGAATCCCGAAGGCTACTTTCTAGGCCCGCACGGTGAATAAATTCACACGAAGGCGTCGCTTTCACCCCCACTTAAATAGGGTTTGGAGCTCGGGTATAGAGCCTTTAGATGAACAACAAGTTTGGGAGTCTGAAATCATTAGAAAACTGTTAGTACAACTATTCACTCGAAAAAAAAATAATCAAAGATAAATAATAAGAATCGAAGAATTAAATTAAAATTTAAACTTATAATTTTCACTTAAAAAGACAACCAAAAATTAATTCAGCCTGACTCACTTACCTGTCCCCAGCGGAGTCGCCAAGCTGTCGCAACCGTCTTTCAGTTGGGCCCCGGAATTGGGCTTCGACTTGAAAAATGTGGATTGGAGTCGCCACCGACCATTTTAAAACGAATTTAGGTGGGTCGGACACCATCTTACCTGATCTGCGTTGTATCAGAAACGTGTCGAGTTTGGGAGTCGGTTACGGTCAAGGAAGGATTAGCACCCTTAAACCGCCCTTTCGGTACCAATTAATTTATCGGTTGTCTTTAATTGCGAAAATTTAAATTTAAAAATTCAATTCGAATTACTTACCTTCGATTGATTAAAAATTCCCCTCAAAAGCCAATAATATCGTTAGATTAAAAATATATATGAAAAAAAAATAATAGAAAAAATTAATAAAATAAATAAGATAGATATATAAGGATACAAACAAAATCCTCATTCAAAAGGAATAATGTCATCTCTCTAAAAGTTAAAAGAGATACACGTGATTGCCATAATGTCATATCTCAGGGACCCACAATGTGAAATCATGCAAGATTGAACATTTCAAAATCACATAAGAATCCGCTGAAACAACATTATTAAAGAAGGTGCCCAGTTATTTACCTATTCGTTCGTTTGATTTACATATTCGAGTGACCCATGCAAACTTGAACTCAGTGCCATGAAGTGTACAAAATACCTCTTAGGTTCCAAATATCAATTAACAACCCAAATTTGTGAATCTGCAGATGTGACGAGTACTTCTGATGAACTTCCAGGTGCAAACTGGAAACCTATAATTTTCCTTTGATGAGATTTCTTCTTTTTGTTCTGCAATTTGATTTGACTTTGCTATAGCGACTTGTTCTCAGAGGCATTGTATAAACGACAGCTTCCTCTGTACGAGCCAACTACTACACACTGGCCATCGGGTGTAAAACAAGTAGCGATATTCTGAAAGCTATGCTCCAATAAAGTTACAGAAGAAAGCCGCCCAGCGACCTGCTCCACTATTGAATTGCTTATTTCACTTCTCGGCAGTCGTAAAGTCTAAAGAGACTTGACATTATCCGCAATGAATGTAAAGCTCTGGTCATTAGCTAGACCGATAACACAAAGCTTTCGAAGTGAACCGAGATTTTAGTTATCAGCATTTGAACCACCAGAGAGCGTGAGACCAACGCCAATTAAATGTGGGAATGAAATTGCCATCTGATGCCATTAACCGGAGGCTCCGTTTGTTACGCTCGGCATTGGTCATGACTCATGAGCTACTCCCGGAGAACTAGCCAAAGAAATTGTCGCACTCTTTGAGGCCCATCAAAATTTCAAACAAGGTTCCACCAGTCATCTTTAGTATCCCAAGTATTCTGCTGGACCGTGTTAAACGCTGACTTAACGGAGCACATTCCATAGGGTTCCCAACACCAAATAGCTTGGTCATCAGCTCGAGTAATATCATTGCGTGTTGCCCTTTCGGCCGCCGACCGAGAGTCTCGGGCAGAACCCTCTCTTCTATTTTTCGTTTGTGCTCCCTCAATAATTCGTGGTTCCCCTCTGGTTCCCCTTTCCTCTTGATGCTTGAGTCTATTTATAGTCTAAAGAAACCTATTTTTAGCTCAGATTTGGAGTCCTACTTGGACTCAAATTGCTTCAGTTTTAGTGTTTCAATAGGACTCAAATACGTTGGTTTGAATCTTACTAGATCAGGGTTGTTGAATGTGGGACCTGCAAAAATAATAAAAAAGAATATATGTTAATAAAAATAATAATATTACATATATAATATATATAATATGTTTTATATTAAATATTATAATGGGACGAAATTTGGTGTCTACAGAAATCTAGAGAGCTGGCAGTGCTGCTTGCTTGGAGGTTACAAAATGCCTAAATCAATCTTTGATATGGATCATGGAATGGGTCCAGATTTAGCAGTCTTAGTAGAGCGGCGTTGGAAGAAAGTAAAAACCCTAGATGCTTCGTGGTTTTGGACCGTTGGATATCAGGCAGAACCAACAGCTAGAGATAAGCAACATTGGTGCTGAATAGAATCTAAGATTCTACTGTCACATTTCCATTTGGACTATTTGTGTTGCTTTGTAAGTTGGGTCAACTTCATTTGGTCTTGTACGAATGGGCCTCTATAATTTAGGTCACTTGTAGTCTTTGTATTACATTTGGGAATATAACATAAAATTAATAAGGATTAGTTAATTAAATATATGTATATAAACATACATACAATATACAAATATATTAGCTTATCATATATAATATACATACACGTCCGTGTACTCACCTATAATACGTACACATAATATAATCTATACAATCACCCTCACCTTATATGAATAAATATTAATATTAACACTAATCAAACGAAATTAAAGAAAATAACAATATATAAAAGCTTAGTTAAATCCCCAGACGAAAATGAGTATCTACAAATATATTAGATTATGTTTGGTTTTGTTATATATTTAAATAATAGACAATTACTAATAAGCATTTTATTTGGCATGTTTCATTATACAATTAACAACACATTTATAATTAGAATTACTCAAATTATGTGGCAAACCCAAATTACAGCAAACGAAAACCCATCCATTGGCCCAATGGTTCATGTCGAACAAGGAGGAAGGCCCACATCCAACACATGAATGAATTAGGATTTTCTAAATCCTTCCAGCGTAGCCAAATGTTAGATGCCAGATCAAGGGCAGATTTGACGGTCCATATTAACCCCAAACATGTTAGGGTTTTGAAACCCTAACTTCCCACACTCTTCCAATCGCCATTGCCTCCACAGCAGATGGTGTGTTGTCCTCACGTCGATGATCCCGAGCACTCCAGAAGAAGCCACATCAGTACATCTTCATGTGAACTCCGGCCACGCCAACAGCTACCACATTGAAACCCCTTCTCGTGTGAGGGACCATTCGTACAATTAGTGGTCCCTCCCCTCTTCATAACCATTTTGAAAGAGGCTCACGGGGGATCTTTTTTGGCTTCATGTGTCTCTAAAACAATGTTAAAAAAGAGAGGTAACAACCATAGTAAAGGAGAGCAATCGAGCCATTCATAAATAAAAAAATCGATTCATAAAAAATCAAACAGAAAGAAAAACCAGAGGGATTCAAGGGGCTTTCATTCGAACATGAAAAATGAAAAAAATCCCATCAGCAACAAAGAAATATAGGTAATAAATGAATAAAAATAAAAATAAAAAAATTGAACTTTATACTCTTGTAGATGAGTTGTTTTGGATAAATCATCTTGTAATTCTCCTGAGGTTTCAATGAGTGCATTATGGTCCAGTTTTGGATTAATTTCATGCTATTTCAAGCTTAGCTTTGCAATTACTTCGATTTAGTCATTTTTTAAAATTTATGAAATTTTCATGGATGCCCCTTAATTATTTTAGTTATTTCATTATTCTTTTAACTTTATTTTTGTACATTTTAGTCCCAAATTTTATTTACGATTTTATCTCTATTCCAATGCTCATGTTATATGGTTTTTACATCTTTTCTATGATTCTTGCTATGTTCTTCATTATGCCCGTAAGGTTTTCATTCTCTCCATTTAGTCACATAAAGCTTAGTTAGTTTCTACATTGATATTATGGTTTGCCATGTTTGTATATTTATATTTTTGTAATACCCAAAATATCAGGTTAGTGACTATATTGAAATGATTTAAAATTTGGAATATTTAATCGAATAAATGGTAAAGTATAAGAAAATGAATGAGGATTTGTGTTAAAGACTAATTAGTAAGAATTGAAGAATAGAAGGGCATTTTGGTCCTTTAAAGGGAAACATATTTAAAAAGTTATTTTAGTTGGGATATTAAGAAGAGGAAAAAGAGGTAAGTCAACTAAGTTACATTCTTCTCCTCTTGCTCGTCCCGTGCTCTCCTCCATGCCAAAGGTGAGCTTTCTTAAAGTTGGTTTTTCATTTAGTTTATGGGATAGTTTTAAAACCTTAAGTGATGTGGAAGCCTAAGGAATGTTTAAATGGGATTAAAACTAAGCGACTATTGAAATATTTAAGATTTAAAGAAATGAGTTTTTGAATGATATGATAAGATATGAGTTTTTACTGATCTTTATTAGTATATCTGAATTCTCAAAGAAGTAAATAAGAGATTAGAAACATTGGATGGGATTAAGAACATGTTAGAAAAAATTGTTATGATTCTTAGATGAAAATGTTCTTGGAAGATCTTAGATGTTTAAAGATTTAAAGTTAGTTTTGTTGGAAGTAAACATAAGGAAAATTGACCTAAATTTGGGTAAGTTTCAGGCTGAAAAATGTAAAATCTGGGAAATGGTATCGGTACTGATCGAACAATACTGATACTATAGGCTTAAAATCAGTAGAATTCGCTGAGTAGTATCGATATCGATTCAAGTGGTATCGATACCAAGAGGGAAGTATCAATACTATGAGGATGGTATCGATACCATTGCTAACAGAACGCAGAAATGGTATCGGTACCGTAATAGGGTATCGGTACTATAGTATAGTAGTATCGATACTAAAGAAGGGGTATCAATATTATTGAGTCAGAAATGTTAAGATAAACTAAGATTTTTAAGGAAAATATAATAATATGTACTCTTGAGTAACGTTCAAGTATAATTATTAGGAAATAAACTAACAATTGATATTGTATGTGTCTTTATTGGATGCTTGAGTAGATCGAAATCAAGCTTACGAGTCAAGCAAAGCAAAAACAAATGGAAAATGCCAAGTTTCGTAGTAATTAGTTTTGCGTAGTGGACACCAAAGCGAGGCAAGCCAGGTGAGTGCATTTAGTTATGTATGTATATGTTATGGTAGTCATTGTTGTATGATTTATTGATGTAAGTATGGTGATTACCAAGTTTCGTATGGGCACTATGTGTGCGAACTAAGAAATCTATACTAAGTGTATGAATTTCCGTATGGGAAATCTATGTGCAATTATCAGAAGTTCATAATAAAAAGGTGAATTATCGTAATGGTAGTGGGTGAGCAATCCACATAAATTATAGTAAGATTGTGAGATTATTGCATGGGAGCTATAGGTTTAAACCATAGAATGTATAATGATTTGAAAAAGTTAATTGATATTATGAATAATTATTATAGTAGAAACTGTTTTAAAATAAAAGATTAATAGCCTAAATGTTCATTTGACAGAAAGGTGTCAATTAAGCCAGTTAGATGAAAGGCTAAGTGCCTTTGAGGCCTAGTTGTGTAATTGGCAGAAAGGTGTCAATTATACCAGTTAGATGAAAGGCTAAGTGCCTTTGAGGCCTAACTGTGCATTTGACAGAAAGGTGTCAATTATTCCAGTTATGTGAATGGTTAGATACAGTTGAGTAAAAGATTAATGGCATAACTATGCATTTGACAGAAAGGTGTCAATTATGCCAGTTAGATGAAAGGCTAAGTGCCATTGAGGCCTAATTGTGCATTTGACAGAAAGTTGTCAATTATGCCAGTTAGATGAACGGTTAAATACCGTTGAGTAAAAGATTAATGACCAAACTGTACATTTGACTAAAAGGTGTCAATTATGTTAGTTAGATGAAAGGCTAAGTGCCTTTGAGGCCTAACTGTGCATTTGACAGAAATGGTGTCAATTATGCCAGTTAGATAAACGGTTAAATACCGTTGAGTAAAAGATTAATGGCATAGTTGTGCATTTGATAGAAAAGTGTCAATTATGCAAGTTAGATGAAAGGCTAAATGCCTTTGGGTAAAAGAATAAAGGAATTATAATGTATTGTGATATAAATGGTAAAAGGCATGAAATGATGCCATAATTGAAATGCATATGGGTACATTATCGGCATGAAACAATGTCATAATTGAAATGCATATGGGTGCATTATCGGCATGAAAGAATGCCATAATTGAAATGCAAATGGGTGCATTATATATATGAAAGAATACCATAATTGAAATGCATATGGGTGCATTATCGGCATGAAAGGATGCTATAATTGAAATGCATATGGGTGCATTATCGGCATGAAAGGATGCCATAAATAAAAATGTACAATGATGCATTATAAGAATAAATGGATACTCTCAATGAAAATAAAGAATAGTGACTAAAGAGATAAATGGAAAATGAAAAATATAAAGAAAGATAGGTATGCTAGGCGTACTAAAAATAATTAAGATAATTGTGAATGAAATACGGTTTAACTAAAGAGGATTATAGGATCCTTAAAGAATATACGATTTAGTACGAACTAAAAAAATATGACATACTTATGTATACATAAAGGTTACTTTGCAATATTATGTCTCACTAAGTAAATACTTAACGTGTGTTGCTTCCACGCGTAGGTAAAAGTAGAGACGAATCAAATAAGGAGTGCAACAGTAGCAACTGATATCATCAATTAAGGTTGACTAGTCAGTAACAGTAAGGCATTCAAAATCATTTTGAAACTTATATGGCATGTAATTTAACTTAACAAAATATTTTGTAAGGTATGAAAAGGGATAGTTTATTATTGTGATAACTTATATGGATTTAAGATTAAAAACAAAAAGTTTCAAGGGTTTTCAAATGATTAATTGTTTTTAAATTGGTGTGACATCTTTATTTCATGTACAAAAAGGTATATGGGATATGAGTGTTACATTTATTGGTATCAGAGCTACAGGTTTAGGTGATTCTCAACTGAAATCGAGTTTAATTGAAATAAGGAAAAAAGATTATATGCCATTAAGATTGTCAAAGTTACTGATAGGGTGTCAATTAGAGTGTGATTAATGTCACTCCTTATTAATTTGAGTGTTATTCTTATGTATGTCCTAATAAATTTCAAAAACTAAGGAAAAAGGTAAGAAAATAGATGATATTAAAAAGAAGGTCGAGATCAAAATCGACCCAAGAGAATCCGACATGATTTTAGTATCATGCCGTAGAAGGGTAGAAGATGCTAGGGATTTTCCTCCATTCTGTGGAAGGAATGCCCTAGTTTTTAATAATGATTCTGCATTTGAGGAATCTATTAAAAAGTTTAAACGGTTTATAAGAGAAGTTGAATCGGATGAGGGTACATAGGAAATTTCTGAATATAGTGATGATTCCGAGATTTCTTCAAGTAAGCTTAATTAATTAAGAAATATTTAAGTGAAACATTAAATTGTTCAAAGTGTTGTTAATTTGAGTAAGAGGAAAGAAGTAAGCGGTAAATACATTGACTACTAAAAGCCTATAGAAATATGAATTACTAGTGGATCAAGTGATTATGAGTTTGTTTAAGAGTAAATTTGGTTACTAGTGTAATTTTTGCATTAACTGCTATGAAGTTATTGCTACAAAGTTGCAATTCTTATTATTTAATACTGTGGATAATTAGACTTTCATGGTCAAGAGATAAAATGTTTCAATTGCTCGAGAATATTTTAAATGGATCTAGAAAGTTACACGGATTTTCTCAAGAAGGAAATAAAAGATTTTAAAATAAAAGTATTCTATTTAACTTATTCTGGAGTGAGATGATAGCAATAAACCCAAGTGGGTCTTGGTGCAAAGATGAGTTGGACAGGTAGTAAACAATTGATAAACATTCTAGGGGCTATGTTCCCAGTGAACCTGATGAAATTATCATTTGATAAGTTAAAATCATATTGAATATAATATGTTTGTCTCTAGAGACGATTATTTCATAAAGATGCAGATGTTATGGAAATTATAGTTTTTACTGAGAAAGTAAAATCATCGCTCAAGGTGATATCGATAATGATTGTGAAGAAAATGATGTCATAAAGATATATATATATATATAAATAACTTTTATGGTTAATGTGATAGATACTCAAATAATTAAAGTAGAATTGTTTGATAATTTCACAAAAATTTGGGAATATATAGATGTCTTTTCAG